ACAAACACACACACACACACACACAAACACACACACACACACACAAACAAACACACACAAACACACACACAAACAAACACACACACACACACAGACAGAGACAGACACAGACAAACACCTGGTTCAGATCTAAGTTGTCGTTAATGTGGCTCGTTTTGTTCGTCTCGCTTTCCTGATTTGCTGGAAAAAGCACATTCACTGATGTACATGTAAGCAAAGCACACATGTGTGATGTTGAGTCCTCAGCTATCCACTACTGGATCCGGCGGCTGAGGGTCACATCCGCACTGCGGATTCTGCCGGGTGGACCGAGCTGCTTGGCTTCCATGACGTCTTTGCCTTTAAACGTTGGTGTTCGGTTCTGTGTGCTCGAGACGCTGCGGCTTGTCGCCATGCAGGCGTCCATGGCGCTCAGGCCGAGCGTGCGTGCATGCGCCGCGCAGGGACAGGGCTCTCAGAGCATTGGAGAGGCTGCGGCGTGCCGTGGCGGAGTTTCCGCGTGAGGCCCGGCGCGAGGTCTTGGAGGCTATGGCTCCAACAACGCGACGCGCCCTCCTGGCATTCATGGAGCGGTCCCAGGCGCTCGTGGCGAGGGCAAGGTTGGATGCGGGCCCGGAATCCGGGCAGTCTCCGAGGAAAGCTTTCAAGGCTAAAGAGCGGCTGGCGCGACCATGGCGGCCTAGGACTGCAAGGTCAGAGCGGCAGGGGGGCGTCTATCGCAAGCAAGGTGGCTGGCTGGCGAAGCTCTGCCTCGTTCCGCACTTCTACGTGTCATCTCGCTGCTTCCAGAACCCACAGCAGGCGGCCAGCATGCTGAAGGTCCTTTGCAGAGCACGGGACTTGACGCAAGCGGGAGCGACCAGCTCCATTTACAGAAGTGAGCTCCTGAAACAGGCGCTGGTGGATGCCTGCTGTCAGGAGGGTTTGGAACTTCAGGACCTGGCACCCTCCTTTACCGCGTATGTGGATGCCAAGGGCATCGTGGGATGCGCAGTCTCCTCAAGGTCGAGCACCTGTCTAGAGGAGGCGCTTGATCACAGGAGTTTGCTGCTGGCTGGCCGAGCCAAGGGCTGGAGTCACTTCCGTGAGGCCTGGCTCCATGTCTTGCAGGCGACGGTGCAGCGCAGACCCTCGCGAGCTTGGGGACGTGCCCGAAGCAAGCCCTTGCAAAAAGCTCACGCAGAGGTCTTTGTGGACAAGGCCCGCAGGAGCTTTGAGCTGCAAAGGCAGGCCACTGCAGCGATGGTCTGCCGGAAGCGCCTGGCCAAGGCAGCACAAAAAGTGGATGCGGTCCTGCAAGGGCCAGGGCCCTGCAAGAAACGGAGCCTGTGACTTGGTGAAAGGGTGGCGGCTGCAGGCAGAGTTCTCCTTTTTCACCCGTGAGCTTGGCCGCAGCCAGATTTTGGCACTCTCCTCCACACAGGAGCCAAGCGATATCGAGCGATCAAGAAACCCGATCTGCAGTGTGAAGAAGATGGGCGTAGCAGTTTGCCATCGCATGCTTTCAATGTGCTGCATGTATTTGTTGTATGCTGGCTTTTTGTAGACTGAATGCTCAGCAACCTTGGCGCCTGGGCGACGGGCTGTCATGATCAATCCTCGTCTTTGCTTTCAACTTCGGCAGTGAGCATCCAGCATGATCTGCCCAGAAAACATGCTAGCTACGCGCTCCTCCCAGAAATTTACACTCGCATACAGAGCTTGTCAGCTCATTGAAGCATAGATGCATAGGCCTGTCCACTATGGCTGACACTGCTGCGACTGCTGCGACTGCTGCGACTGTGACTGCGTCTGCTTCTTCGGCAGCTCCTGCGACTGCGGCGACCCCGGCCGCAGCTGCGGCTCCGGTGGCCGTGGCTGCTGCAGGCGCCGAGCGGAGTCGTTTTAGAGACTCAGAGCTTTCAGGAGCTGGGTGACTTCACGTGTCAGGCAGGGGCTGCAGGACCAGTCGAACTCGTTGTTGGGCTCGGGGCTCCACGGCATGCTGTCACTCGCAAGGCCAGCAGGGCTACGTGGCTCCGGGCATGAACATGTACGGCCAGCAGAGCTACATGAGCCCCGGTGGCTACATGGGCCAGGGTCAGTTCGGGCAGCCTGGATATGCGGGGATGGGCATGCCTGGGCAGCCGGGATACCCGGGACAGCCTGGCATGCCTGGCCAGCCTGGAATGCCACCGCAAGACATGCAGCCTCAATTCAATTTCCGCACCACGGTGCGATGCTTCATGGAGATCGCCGCCATCATCCAAGGCTTCTCCCTGATCTTGATGATTCTTGGTTCGGTTGGTGAGTAGGGGCACCAAGACGAAGGATAGAAGCGGACAGCAATCAGCGAAGGATGGGAAATGGCTGGGTCCAGGAGATGGGCTCCAACGAGGAGCAGCCCTTGAGGCCACTGTGACACAGTCGGTGTGTTAGCTTAGGTTGCAATATTTTTCGCTAAACTCTGCCACAGGCGCTTCGCGGTGTGGATAGGCAGCTCCTTGCGTGGAATCTTTTCTTCCCTGTTGCCATTCTTGGCCAAGCGCAGCTTGACTGAGGCCTCAGACATGTTCCCTGCGCTCTTTTGTTTTGCAAGAAGCTGAGGCAAGAATCGCTCAATGGAGGAGATTTGGGACATGGAGACGACTCCGAAGATGCCGACACGTTGGTGGGTTGTTCTGGGTTGGATCTACTTCGCTGCTTCCTTCCTTCAGGATTCAAGAAAGACAATAAGAGCTGCTCAGAATAGCATGAAATTCGCGGGAGTTGATCAGCTCTAGACTCTAGACTCTAGACATGCTTCATCACAGGAGTGGAATGCTTACCAACGTGCGCGGAATCGGCCTGTCAGTCTCTCTACAAGCGCCGTTCTCCAGCGACCTTCAGGCAGCGAATCACTCGTAAGCTTCAGGACTTTGGCGGGGGAGGGAGGCCCGACCGCTGCAAGCAAAGCTTGGAAAAGAGGCCGATTTTCACAGAGTTTGCTTTGAAGCCAGGGCCAAAGGCTGTGGCGGCAGAGGGCGATGCTGCGGGCGGCGCTGGGGGCAAAGGGAGCAACATCGTGGACTTCTATTTGCAGAAACAGCAGGAGCATCAGCCGGCACTTGTTGTAACTCTGACACTGCGAGTCTGCCTGGATCCCACAGACAGGACGCCAAAGGAAACGCATCACAGTGCATGGTTGAGAGGAAGCCTCATGCTGAGCCTCAGGAGATGTACCGGCAGAAGCAGGGCTCCCAACCAGGAGCCGCAATAGCCTTTGTGTTTGCGGAGTCTTACGTGCAGGCACACTTTTGGCTGTTCTTGCATGTGTGGGTCCTGAGCACGACAGCGGAGACTTCAACAGCTTGCGTGCAGACCGGGTGCCAAACTTACGCAATTGACAGTTCAGTTGAAACTTCACGTGCTCCCTCCGGAAGTCTGTCGTTTGTCACACTGCCATTAGTGTGTCGTGTTGCAATGGCACTGCATGTTCGGAGGCTCCGATCTCGTCCTGCGACATGCAGTAGCCGCGCAACATGACACAATCGGCCTCGTCAGGAGCTGCTTCCACCGGCACAGGTGGGATGTGCTTCCGTCGAGTCACACATTGAACTCTGTGAAGCATACTGTTCATCAGGCGGATACGCTCTGCAGAGAACTGCAGCGTCCGTTGCGTCGCCCGCAGACCCAGCTCCTGGAGGGGCCGACGTGGACAAAGGTTAAACTTGTTAAAAGAGATGGTCAGCAGTTCCCACTCTCGGGCTGTTCAGTGCTGCATCATGCGTCGGCCGTTTGCGGACTAGCCTCATGTCTTACGCGAAGTGCTTGCATTCTGGTTGGCCGTGTTTATCAGCTGCTTATCCTCTGTGTCTAGCTTGACAAAGGTATCACGGTATAGAGGCTCCCAGCGCAATGTGTCTGTTGCGCATGCCGAAGTGAGCGCTGCCGTTGCGCATTGAGAGGCTTGAGGCTCATCGGCAGACGGGAGGCCCTGCAGCTGGCTCAAAATAGAGACGGGCCTCCTCCTGCTTCGGCGGCTATAACGCCGGTTATGGACGGAGGCGCCCCTCATTTGGGAGGTGGGCAGGCATGCAGCATGAAAGCAAGCCGAAGAGCGAGATAGATTTGAACTTGGATGCGCAACGTGGCAACGGCTGCGACAGTTTGTTGATAATGACAGATTTTAGCTTCTTTTTGAGCTGTGGGGCGTTGCAGAGTTTCCAGTTGCAGCCTCCAGGCCGGATCCCATCCGACTCGGCCTTTTGGTCCTCCGTGCATGTGACAGCGATGGCAAGGTGTGCGGACTTGTTTTCACGGTTCTGAGGGATCAGAGTATAACGAGTGCGAGGTGATGGGGAACTTCAGTGGCCCATGTGGGCAACGCCTCAAAAAAACAGGACATAACAGGACATCATGTGAATCACGTCGCCTTACCATGTCGTGACAGGCACAAGTGCGCAACCCCGGCCAGACTGAATGCACGCTGCCTCCGCTGCTTCACCTGCTATATATGAGGCCAACCTGTGCGACTGCACTGGCTCCGCATGAAGCTTGCTTGATGATGATGATGATGGTGATGATGGTTATGATGATGATGATCATGATGAGTAGGCAGATTGCCCGATTCTTCTGCTCAAAGGATCTGGCTTCTTAATGTAGCGCCGCGGCGCTCTGCCCCAAAGGGGGCCAGCGTGCGCAATGGGCCTCCAGAGCTTGCTGGTGCTAAGCCCGTATCTGCTGCTCGTGCGCGGGCTATGGGCAGCCAAGGCTACTTGGAAAAAGACCCGTGCGTAACTATATGTAACTATCAAGCTATGGAGCTATGCTGCAAAGACAAAGGTGTCTACACAGCGGGCTTCGTCACAGCGCGAGGAGCGCTTGAGTGCACCGCAAGGAAGGTGAAGGCAAGCATAGCTCCTGGACCCAGCAGATGAGCTGTGACCCAACCGAAAGCCTTTCAGATCGAGCTCGTACACACGAAGATATGCATCACTCCTCATGGCAGCTCCTGGCCTCTCTTCAGTGTGGATGGATAACACCATCCTATAGCTCCTATACTCCTAGACCATATCGGAAGGTTTCCCCCATAAGTCCCGTAAGCCAGACTCGCGCCCAATGGAGGCAGGTAGTAAACCGTCGCACAAAAGGGATGAATTAAAACCTCCAGTAGCCTTAAGTAGGATAGTAATGGGCGCGCGCGAAAAATTGAAAAGCCTTCCTTATCAGAGAGCTGCTGAAGCAAACATTTGCGCTATGATCCTTATGTTCTGTGATGCCCTGTGATCGCTACGGTCGCTGCTTGCGGACGTCTGTGCTTGTCTAGGAGAGTCTCGCTCCACAGCGGCTTCTGAATTTGTGGCCTGGCAAAGCAATATGTCCGAACCCATCGAAGTCTGTGCAGGGTAGTGGAAACAGGGTGCCATTCTGCCCTGTGCTTGCCTTCTGTAGTTGACACTGCAAAATATGGCCACCCTTTCGGTCCTGTGAGAGCTGAGCACAAGTTTGGTCCCAGCACATGGTAGGCTTGTGGCAAGACAGTCAACTTCCTCCATGTTCCGCTCCCATGGCGAGGCAGAACCCGGATTTCGAGCCGGCGTCCTCCAGCTTTCTCAGGAATGCTCCAAGGTCGGGAAAGTGGTGCCCAAGCCTTCGAATCGAGTGCCTTGAAGCTATTGTTGTGAGTCTCTGCAATTGAGCTTGACGCCTGTCCACCAGCCATGCAGTTGGGCCGCGCAGGCAGGATAAATTGCGTGGATACCTGGACCTTCCTAACTCGTCCAGCAATGCTTCAGATGCGGCACTAGTTCCGCTGGAGACTCTGTGGCACCATGTGTGTCAGCGCCAGTGTTCTGCTCGAGATGAAATGCCACTGCGGGGCAGGTGGTACCTGTCGAGTGCTAAAAGCTTTTTGGTAGTCGCCACAGCTAAGGAACCTGCCAAGTGCCTTGGCACGCAAGGGCATGCGGCGCTCACAAGAAGACTGTGTCCCGCTTGACTGCTACACAGGTGCTACACAGGTGCAGGTTTGAGGTGTTGTCCTGACACCTGAGGGCTGAAGAGATCTTCGAAGAGCCCAGAAAGGCATGTGGGCATTGCCGTAGAACCCCTGTCTTTCATCCTTGTCCAGAGAAGGATTTTGCAACCGGTCTCGAGAAGGATTCCGGTTCATCGGCATGCACGAGGGAGCACACGTCCGAGTGCAAGGCTATTACTACTACTACTACTACTACTACTACCACTACTACTACACTGATGATGCACTAGGGGTCTCTGGCGGAAGATGCGCGGTAGAAATCCTTGGCCCATCCTTGCGTCAGCCTCTGCCTTGTCGCAGAAGCGGTTACTGCGGGGCCGGTTGTCTTCAAGATGCTCTTTGTGGGCGGATAGTTCGTGTATTTCTCGCTCAACCTACTCAAGCCTTGACCGGCCTGATGGTTCGCAGATAGTAGGCCTTGAGTCCACGAAGCCAGCAGTGCAAAAATCCCTCGCGCGTGGAAGAGCGCAGAAGCCCAAGCGGAAAGTTCGTTTTGTTCTGCTTGGTCTTCGAGTATTCGGCAACATGTGGCTTCAGATCTGAGGGTGTCGTTCAGGTGAAAGTGTTTCTCACCCTGGACCAGGTCATGGGCGTTGCGCTGAATGGTGAGAGCGACATGCGAACACTCAATACCTCCCTGGTTCTCGGCACTGTGGGTGCTGCAGGATGAGCGAGAGACATCGTCTCATCAGCTTGTCTCACGCATGTTCATCTACAGTATCATGTTTGCCATTTTTTGTGCAGGAGTGATCTTTGCATTTGCAGCACTGCAAGTTCTCCTCCCACAAGTTTACCAGAGATCGTCCAAAGGCGAGTCTGTCCGTGGGAATCCATAAGTTTCTAGATGGCTCGTGCAGCCCCAAACTCAGGCAAATCGATCAAAGACACCGATGCCACGGAAGAGTACCACCTTCAGGCCACCGTCCTCATGCAAAGCTGACTATTGATTTCTTTCGTTTCCCAATCCAGGTGCCCACAGGGATGCGCTGGCTGGACTCTTTGTGGAAGGTGTGGAACACGACGTGGCTGATGCTGCAGTGCATATTCGGTCCAAGATCTTGATCCTGCTAGTTAAAACTGGCTCTGAGCGTAAATGCAGCAGTTCGGCGGTTGTGGTGCTTTCATCTTGTCAAGTCTTCCCTTGAACGGCACAATGGAAGGCGAACCTGGGAGTCGGTAAAGCTGGGAATCGGAAGCAGTTTTTTTGTGTGCATGTAGGAGGTCTGGACGCAGGAATCTTATCGTTCATTTGAGGCCGGATGACGAAGTCCGCTTGGCCGGACTTGATGGCTGGTCACTGCTGGTGCCTAAGGGCTGCAAGGGCGGTCTCTGGGGAAAGAAAGTAAGGACCCAAGGCTGTGGGATGCAAAGTGGGTCCAAGCAGGTCAGGAAGGAAGGTTGAAAGGGAACGTCGACACAGGTGCTCACTAGCTTGCTTTGCGAGACGAATGCGCAAAATTGCCACCGAAGCCGAACGCACATTTGCTGGAAGACAGATGGGAACCACCGAAGCCGAAACACACCAGCTGGGACGCCCCCGGTCAGGAGTTCGTGCGGCTCAACCTTCGCATCATGTCGATCCTGGGCCCCTTCATGCTGGCGGTGCTGCTTCCGCTACACTTCGTAGCCAGCCGTGAGTCCCATAACACCCTGGACTTCTTGAGCCGGCTGGACATTGGTAACCTGCCCAGGAGCGGCAAAGAGAGCCTCTGAGAGCCCAGAGACTTCAAACCTTCTCGGAACAGGAACAGCTGGATGCTCTGGTTCCACGCAGCTGTGGTGTGGTTCGTGGTGACAATTAGCGCCTGGCAGCGGCACAGCTGCACTCAGCTTTTGGGAGGCTGTTCATAGCAAGCTGCTGGCTGGCGGAGGAAGATCAGCACAATTGATCGAAGTTGTTTGCCAACAGGATCAAGCTGGCACATGATGGGTTCACCGAGCGCCGCTATCAATGGCTGGCAACGCTGCCTAGGCGCGCAATCTGCAGTAAAGCGCAGACTCGATTCACGTTGACCATATAGAGCAGTACTGCTGCTAGGGTGCGGTCGCGGCAGGCCCCGATCGACCACCGTGATGGTACGCAACATCCCCCCTATGTACCGCTCCGACAGTGCGCTGAAGGAGTACTTCGACACAGCTTCTTGGAACAGAACAGAATCATAATGTAGTCTTCTCGGAGACCCGACTAAATCTCGAGGCGTGACCAGGGTGACGAGCTTATCAGTGAGTTTTCATGGATGACAGCCGTCAAGGTACCGACCTTGCAGGATTGGATTTGTTTCTGGAGCGGAAGAATTTCCAAGATTTCCCAAGTAGATGCTGCAGGGAGATGTGGGAGTTTGCGCTGCAATGTCCGGGACAGTAGGCGCAACTATCTGTAGCCGTGTGGTGCGAAACTGCAACCTGGACAATGCAGTGAAGCCGTCTGCCAAGGTTTTCTCGGAAGAAACTATGCAGCACACTGTCGAGCGTGCCTATGTAATCCGCAGAACAGGCGGCTGGCAGAGCTGTGTTCGGGGCTCCCACGGCTTGAAATGACACATGCCCCGTAACATAAGAAGCACCATTCAGCAATGAACACGAACAGTTCTCCCGACATGTAGACAGCAACAACGGAAGTTGTAGACTTTCAGCAGCGGCATTTCACTGGAGACTTTGCCAACAGGATCTGCATGGGCAATTTAAGCCCAGAATGCTGCGTACTGCTGTGGCCTTGATGATGGCACGTTTGCATCTTTGCACTTCGTGGCTCTGACGATCAGGCAGGCTGCCGCAGTTAGTCCGGCACTGAGCTGTTCGGTCTCATCCTGGATTGGACGGGAGCCCTTTTGACGATGCCTTTAAAGTCTTAAAGGTTTCCCATTGCTGATACTGGAGACTCAGCCTGTGCGTCAGCGCACCTGAAAAATTCACCAGCAAGCATGCTTCTATCGGGCTGGTGCCCCTGACTGAAACCTTGATGCTTCTGACGGCCTCTGGCCCTCAAGTGAGAAGCGCCCGGGGCAATTTGCATGCACGTGCTTCTCCCGTGTAGTGTCCTTGCCATCAGCACGGTCCTTTGCTGAAAGCCTCCAGACCCTCCGGCATTTCTGCAAAAGACCAAAGCTCAAAAGCCCTCCAAGTTCGCTTGCATTGAAGAAGGCACGCGATTGTGACCAAGCTGGTTTTGAGTAGTGCATTTCGAGGTAAGACCTGTCGAAACCTGGTAAACGTGTTGTTACTGCCTGCACTTCGCCACACCCCACACCCCACACCCCATGCCACCCCACTCCACCCCACCGCACCCCACCACACCCCACCCCTGAAACCTGCAAAAAAACGCGTGGTCATAGCTGTGTGTGTGTGTGTGTGTCACCTTAGACCAGCATCCGAAACGTGGAGTTCTGAACCGGAGACCCATGTACCGAATAATGGAAAAGCAGTTCATGAAAGGTGCAGCAGCTACGTGCTGCTCGCTATGATGCGGCCGTTCTCTCTAATCGCATCAACAAGGCACATGAGATGTGATTTCGATCATTTCGGTTCATGGGGTGTCGTACAGCTACAGCGAGTCCGTAGTGTCGCAACTATGGCCTTGAAACTTACTGCTGAGTCGACGGCAGAAGGGGGTGTTTGAGGCCTCGGAAGGCTTGACAATCCGTATTTCAGCTCGTTCTGCACCAATCGTAAACAGGTAAAGCAATGGCGTAGCTTCCTGTCAAGGTGTCGGCTTGGGTGTCCGGCATATGATGGCCTCAAAATCTCTTGAATCGTCTGACGAGCCGCATCGAGCCAACGTTGTCGGATGCGCATTCCTCAGGTGAGGCAGCAGGGGGCAACCGAGGATGGGGGCCAGGAGCTGGAGCTGGAGAAGCACAGGCTTGCCGGGTTGGCGGCCGCAAAGCTGAGGGACGGTTGTGGTTCTTCAATCTTCAATGTCGCATCTCAGCAGATTGAAACCGTTTTATATCCTGAGACAAACCCGGTGCAGATCAGAATCCACCACTCCAGCCGCACAGAGACCTCGGGCGGTCTTAGGCACACGTGTTGTTGGAAGCGCCCGGAAAGACAGAATTATGTCTACACGACTGTTCGAAGATCTCACCATGTGTGAAGGCTCGCCATTGCCAATCTCAGGCACGGGCTGCTTACAGGGCTGTGTCGGTGCTAGGATCCTGTTCTGGCCGTTGACGGGATGATGCTGAGCCCCAGCACGATCACTTGAGGCGATGGCCATCTTGCAAGTCCATATTATATATTATATTATACTATATTATACTATATTATACTATATTATATTATATTATATATTATATGTTATATGTTATATATCATATATTATATGTTATGTATTAGATATATATTGTATATGATATATGATGTATTATATATTATATGTTATATATTGTATAATCATATACCATATATTATATTGTATTGTATTATATTATATTATTCTGAGGAATTTGCTCATGCTGGCAGGAGCCGCGTTGCGCGGGAGCAAGCGGCCATCGAAGCGGCGGCGCAGGGCCCACGGCCGGACCAGAAGGTGCCGTTGCATCCACCGTCTCATGAGGAATTCGACGACAAGACTGTCTCTTTCGTCTCTTCCGTCCCGCCTGCGGGTCAAGCTGTGCAACCTGTTCACCTGCGACAAGAATCAAGAACACAGGTGGCAAGGATGTCGGGTCTAGCGGGCATTCGGGCGAGCTGCTCATCACGGAGCACAAACTGCTTGCGCAGCAGACAAGTGGGATGAGGGTTGAAAATCTGTTCTGCCAGACCTACAGCCCAGAAGCTCAGTATCTCGTATCGACTTACATACAAGACGCTGGAAAACTTTGCAAATCTTGTCCTGTGCAGGTAGGCTCTTCTTCTGGCTTTGTGACCTTCACGACCATCCTGTCGCAACGCCTTGCGTCCCGGGAGTGCTGCGGCCGCGCATCAGGTATGATCGGTTATTCTATGAGGAAGGTTGTGATGAGAAGCGCAGTAGGGTCATTGCAAGCTCCGGCATTCGCAGTTCCGTTGCCCTGCGCAAGCCTCGCGATCTGACGCGACTCACAGCCACATGAAAGCGGCTCGAACCCAAAAATCCCGTGCATGTGGTGCTTCTGGCTCGTTGAAGCCCGGCATTCGTCACGGAAAGGAGTGGCATCGGCAATGGCCTGAAAACATTCATTGTTTTTCTTCCTTAGCCCACAACAATTCAATCTTCTAGAAGAGCGACGCAGGGTTTTGTACATTGATCAAGATGTTGCCCATCGCTAAATGATGTCAAAGAAGGTAATTGTTCTGGGTTGCTCCAGTGCTTTTTCCCTGCTCCAAGACTATTCCTATGATGTGCCTGTCCTGCTTTGGTGTCGGCCGAGGCAATGCACGCGTGATGTGCAGGCCTTCAGGATGCTCCTGGACTACATTGAAAGATGGGTCTGTCTTTCAGGAAGCAACCTCTTTCTTTGAGGTTGGCGAGCGTTTGGAGGAAGTGCCGACAGTAGATGCAATTTTGCCACGGTGACGGAGGTTTATGGCCCCGGACTCGCACGATGTTCTCTACGAAAACTTAGCAGAGGACGACATCAATGCATCCTCCTGGAAATGGCTCGGAGTCTTGCCACAAGCATGGGTTTTGCGTATTCGTGCACCGCAAAGTGGTACAACCCTTCCGCTAAAGACAGCTTGTTGACATTTTGTGAAATTCATGTGCAGAAGTCAGAACGTCTTACCGTCCCATTGGCTTAATGCCGCCATGGGAAAGCATTCCGACACCTAGGTAGACTTGCCCTAGTCGCAGTGTTCCTGTTCTGGATTCCCATCGTGGTGGCCATTTCTGGATGGACCACTCTGAGCTCAATCCAGGCCGCCTTCCGAATCCGCAGAGGGGTATTGCTTTTGAATGTCTAAGCTTGGTGGGTGTGGCGTTGGTGTCTGGTTTCGATTCGTCTCATCCAGGGCACGGTGCCCATCGTCAAAAAGTTTGTGGATGCCCACCCTGCTATCGGCAACTTGCTCTCCGGCGTTCTGGCGACAGCGGCCTTGAAGATGTTCATGGCCTTCCTTCCGAACGTTTCCTGCCAGCATGCGGTTTCGTGTCCGCTTCGTTCTGTGCTTTCGTGATGGCTGCCAGAGCTCAGGTGCTGCATGCCATCATCACCACTACTTCCCATCTTAAAGCTGGCAGTGTTGAGCAGCTGAAGCTGCAGCAGTGGTCTGCAGCCTTCCTCCTGCGTCTTGTCTTTCGAGAGGATTTTGGGAGTTGGATTGAGCAGGACTTCGCCTTTTGAGACGCCTCTGTCATGCCATTCTGACGATTTCGCAGCGAAGGCTTTTCGTGGTCCTGGTGACCTCCTTGGGACGAGGACTTACCATCACGTTCATCATCATCATGCAGGAGTCGGGAGCGGGGCTTGTGTAGCACTTTTGGGAGTGGCACGGGTCGCAGCGCTGTCCGGCAGGAGCCGGCGAAGATCATCAGCCTGCGAAGTGCTGAGTACCCTAAACCCTAAACCCCTGGCAGACGGCCCCAAAGCCCCAGCGCCCCCAAAACCACGGCTCCCATAAGGCTCGCTGCTTCGCTGCCCTCGGCTTCCCACTTTTACTTCAACTATGTGATCCTGGGATGGCTGGTGCTTCCGCTGGACCCTGGGAGCCCTGTGAGCATCGGGCAGTCTTCAGAAGTCGAGAAGCAGCAGTTTAACAACTTGTTGTGCCATCGTGTGCGGGCTCGGGTGGCAATTTCTCTTGCAGGCTTGAATGCTCCGGGCATCTCCAATCTCTACAAATGGGTCTATACGGGTCTACACTTTGCCATTGCAGGATCTGCTCCGCACCGGAAACCTGGCGCCGATCCCAGCCTTATGCATTGCATCACATTGCATCAACTGCCTACCAGCTTGACACATCGAGACAGAGGACCCCTGATGCCAAGATGCTTACCAGCTTCGAATGCTCCTGAGGCAAAGTGGTTTTTCTACCGCAAGGTTTGTGCCTTTGAGGACACCTATGGAAGTCTTTGACCAACGAGCTAGGCAATGTCCGTCGCAGGAGGAGGAAGCCAAAGAGTACTCTGAGCCGGAGGATGTAGCCTACTATGGCTTAGGCTCCAGAATGGTCCAGCCCTCAAACGACGAGGAGGTTGCTAACATAGACAAGAACTTGAGACTTGTTTTGAGGCCCGATCTCTGCTGATGGCTTCCATCTTCTTCTTGTTTGCTTCGTGCTCGCCCTTGATCTTCGCTGGGACCTCACTACCTGCCGCATTCCTCGAATTGCTTGACCAGTGCGACAGGTCTTCACTTGGGTGTACTTCTTCCTCGCACAGTTTGTGTACGGCTACCTCCTGCTGTTCTGCGAGAGCAAGAAGCCCGACACTGGTGGCATTTTCTGGGTGCAGGCCAGGTGTGGAGCGATTCCTGGTTGTTTTGAAGGTTCCGACTTGCTTGCAGGCCATGGATCAGCTTTTCATCGTGCTGGCGATCTACGCCCCTCGACCAATCTCTAGAGGGTCACTTCTTCTTCGATCACAGTCCTGACAGAGGTGATGCTTATGGTGGGTGTCCTTCGAGCCCTCACGAAGGAGGCGTGTGGTTGAGCAAACCCAGATCATGAGCTTCTGGGGAGAGAGAGAGAGAGAGAGAGAGAGAGAGAGAGAGAGAGCGAGCGAGCGTACCTCCTTGCCCCTAACCCTGCCGAAAGAAAGAGCGAGCGTAAGTGCATCTGGCTGTGACGCAGTAGTGCTCCTCGGACTCTCTGCGCTAAGCACTGCGGCGCTGACGCATACCCTTTTTCTCTGTGTATCTGCGTATTATGGTGACCATCGCAGCTCCGTGACAGGACATCTGGCTTGGGCCTCCTGCTGCTGCATTTGCATCACTGCTGGTCCTTTACATGGCAAGGCAGCGCCCTCGAGTCGTCCAGAGCCATGGCATGTTGATGCCTTGCCATCCAAGCTTGACCAAGGCGAGAGGTCAACAACTTGGCCTTCGAGACTCTGCCCTTGGAGGAGGTGGTCAAAGCTTTCCGGGACAGCAAGGAGCTGCGGTTCAGACTTTGCCTGGTTTGTTGTATGTTAGAGCTACTAAGCATCGCCAGTGATGAGGACAGGACGGAGCATGAGAACATGAGCCCTTGCTGCATTTACTACGAAGGTCATCGTACGTTCCCGGAATTGCATAGCGATTTTCCAAAGCACTTCGTTCATGAGAGATACAAGCGGACAGCAGGGACCGGACTGCTAGCTCGGGAACCTGTAGAAAATGCACGCAGATGCAGGTACATTCAGCCTGAGTGCGACCCAATGTTGGTGGCTGATGAGTAAGCTCGAGCCAAGCTGGTGAAGGCTTTCTGCAAGTCTGTACCGACCGATCGCAAGCTTGGTGAAGAGCAGGCAAAAGAAGGGCCTGGGCTCGCTGGGAGCTCTCCCGCGACGGAACGTTTCAGACTGCCAGGCGCGCAGCCAGCTGACCATAATCGAAGGCGAGTCCATTCTTGAGCGCGTGTTCCTCACACGCCACACTGCTGCATAGCAAGGCTCCGGCTGGCGGTGGCATGGACTTCTGGAAAAAGGAATAACAATTCAGTCGAGCAGTAGACCTGGCTGGCAGTCTCATGTTTCGGTTTCGAGGTGAGTACTTTGGCGATATTTCACGCAAGTGCTTCTTGTGTTGCCGCCTGTATAGACGACCCGTAGCGAAGACTTACTAGTAATGTCAATACTTGCTTACTTGCGCCTTCAAGCTGGCAAACCTGCTTTTGCATCCAAGGTGTCGCGTGCTTTCTTGAGTACAAGCTCTTCTTCGTGTCTGAAAGACCGGCGCACTGCCACCCAATCCGGGATGTCTGAGGGGCAAGCAGTGCAGTTGGGATTTGGGATCGTTATTTGGGACTGTGGGTTCGGGAATTTCCTGAAAGCCTTGCTACCGCTCCCTTGCTCCGGGTGAAGCTGTGACAGACATGTCGCTTCAGAAGTCCGAAGCTTCATGGTGTTCTTTCGGTGCTTCACCCCTCTCGTGGCTGCCGTGTGACTTGTTGTCCAGCACACACTAAATATCTCTCGAGCGAAACCGTGTTACTGCATATTGACGGGGTTCAAAACCGCCCCAATCCCCACAAGCAGTCCACACATGCTGAATCCGGTTCTTCAAGGTGCTTGTTGAGATGGTATCGAGATGAGGTCCAAGTGCTAGGATGCTTGGCACGGCTTTGGCGGTCCGGCTCGGGACATTGAAAGCGCCGGTGTGAAGAGTGGGTTTGGCTCGTGATGGTTTGGAGCGACGTGGTCTCAGGGTGGTCCTTCCGTTTGTTGAAACTGGCTGAGTCTCCAGCACATCTTTTCAGCACTTCTCGCTCCGTGATTCAGCGACTGCCAGCACGCTGAAGCTCAGGACAGACCTCACCCAAACACCGAGCCCTACCGTCGACTCACTGCCTTGGCCTGAGATTCCGCCGAGCATCCTGCCGCAGCATGCAAGTCAGGATTCGGAGGCTGATCTCAAACTTGGGTTCGCTAGCATGGCGCTAGGCAGGTTTAGAAGCGCATGCTCAAGGCGAAGCTCTTGTGCGGCTGCACCTCGTCCTCCCAACCCTTTAGCCTAACTCTTCGCAGGTAGAGAAAGATCAGCGCTCGGTTCGCAACAGGCACCTGCTGGCAGGATCCACGATCGGTACGTCGATTGGTGTGGGTTGTGGCAGCCAGGTGCTTCTAAGACCAACGCTCGGTACGAGGATTTGTGAGTTTTGCTGGAGGATGCTTCCAAGATCGATGCTCGGTAAATGCCTTTGCGGGTTTTCTGGCAGCTTTGCTTCCTGATCCGATCGAGCATCCAGCCACGGTCAGTTTTGAGCCTTCACGAGACAGCACAGTTCACTAGCTCGGCCGTTGTGTGCCGCATCAGCGTCAGTTTCAGGAATGAACCATTTTGACAACTACCCAAATGGGTGTGTAACCGTGTAACCTCGGTAAACCAAAACCGCAACGACTGTCCCTGCCAAGGCCTGTCAGAAACAGTTTTAACGGCGCTGAGTATACGAAGTATGAATTTTCGTGTACCGTTTACTTCGGCGATGGTATCGGAGCGATACTGTTTGCTCGGAGTTTGAGTTTGGATTTCCGATGACTTGGCAACCGGACCCGCAACGCAACAGCCTTGCCCTTCAGAGTCTGTACCGGTGTTTCTTGTGCCAGTTCTTGTTCCAAGCCGTGCTGCCCGGAAGCCATTCTGGCTTTGCTCCAATCTCTGTGTGACTGGGGCATCAAGCTGAACCCTCAACCCCAAACTTTAATTGCCTTAAACATTGCCTCACTACCTGGGAACGCTGCAAGACCGTGATACCCTCTCACAAGCGCTAGGTTCGCAGACTGGGTGTGAGTGTGTGCCACGGTGGGCTTTGGGTTGGAAAGGCGGACTGCCGCTTACCCGCTGCTTACGCAAGCCTTACGCGCAACCTGCGTGGATTGCACGACCACACCAACTGCGCGTGTTGAAAAGAAAGGTGAGAGCCTTTTGGTAGACCCTCGGCGCACCCCAAGCAAGCTCCTTTCCATCGCCCAAAATTCCCGCAAGAAGTTGCTGACATTAACCCAGAATCGTGGAGGTGCTTTCCGGTTCGAAGCAGCAACAGTAGATTCGGCTCTGGAAGGGCTCACGTGGATTTCTGTGTTCGAGTTGTTGAGATGCTTTCATTTGAGATCAGAGTTTTAATGCCATGTTGGTCAAGTGCCAATGCACGGCCAGGTACCAGGTTCGAGCGGAGCCATGGGGCAGTTGGCTCCTAAGTCTTCGAAACCAGTGCGCCGGACAAGGCTTCAAATACTAAATCTTGAACTAAATAGTCCAGGTCTTCACCCAATGAGTGGGAACTTCCTGGAACCGTTCGGAAACTCAGCTGCAAGTGGAAGCTTCCTTGCCTGCTACATGTTCAGGCCAACATTAAAGCAAGACTCGCCTCGTTTTGTCCCATCCCGAACCTCGACTACGAATGATGTGCATCGGCTTGATGTTGTATGGGAGGCTTGGAGACTTCAGCCTTGGCCAGGAAACGGTGGATCATAGATTCCTGGTGGTCCAATGTAAACACCATAAGACTCACAGCTCCCACGCCAGCAAGTCGAGTTGAAGCCATTGTGCAGCCGTTTTCCAAGGATTGGATGAGCCCCGCATTTGAACGTCGAGCACCGTCGAGCCGGGGATTCTCGCAGGCGTCCGGGCAGCCGTCCGGCACGGTTGATAACGTCAGGCTGTAAGGAACATCTGTGTGCCATATCGAGAGGTGAGTGGCCACACCATTCAACCTTATCCTAGAGCTCCACAAATCAAGCTTCCATGACAAAACTGCGAGATGTTGTAAAACTGGTTCTTGCACTCTCTGCATTTCCTCTCTAGTGACTCTAGTGCTTGTCACTACACGTATGTCTTGTTCCAAGACATTACCATCATTCTACTTTTTGTTATTCCTCCGCGTATGAGGAATGCCGCCGTTGCCTCAAGGCAAAGTTTACAAAGGTTGCTATTATTAAGCCTGGCTGTCGAGAGTAACTTCCTCGGGCGGCTCGACAGTGCCACTACCCACATGGCAGGCCGAAGAGACCGTGAGCGACGGAGACAACAGCAAAAGTCTTCTGCTTGAGACACAAAGCACCCCTAATGCTTTTTTAGAGTCCGCGCTAGCCTGCTTTTGCACACAATTCATACCTTTCGCCAGCCCGAAGGTGCTGCGCATATTCCACGGTCGGAAAACTCTGATACCGTTTTTCCCGGAAGGCGTGGGATCTCGGCCAGGCCGATCAGCCCAAAATGGTCTGACTGCTGCTGCGTCATTATTAGTCCACGTCATTTTAGTAAGACTGTCAAGTCCTTGCCTGTCCCACCAGAGTCAGGGTGAGAGATTGCTGAGACTCAGACTGCAACGGGTAGTTCTACAGGTTACGCCTCAAGCAAGTATCCCAAGCATTCGGTCGTCCGAGCTATCGAGACTTTCCTGGACGATCCTGGACGCTTGGCCCTCGATGGAACGAACGGCTACCACCAGACCAGTCCTAAACCCGACAGTTGAATTCGCACATTACGATTAACAGTAACATGCTGTCTATTCTGAACTCTTGCATGGTGGCATCTAGAACCACTATAGACTATACCGTATATGCAGTATTTTAGTAAAGTTCCTCAGCCCCAGTCCGATGGCAATTTGCTATGTCCAACTAAGGCGGAGCCTCGCATGATGCAGTCTGTTCTGCAGATAGTCACGGAACGTCGGGCGCTTGCTGCGGTCTTGGCCGGGGCTGGCGCATCTCTGCTCGCCATCAAGCCCCTTGCCACCCTTGCCCTCTAAAGGGTGGTGGCTGAAGTATGCTGAAGCTACCTACAGGCTAGAACCTCGCTCGCACAGACTGGCTCTTCGCGTAGTGGTTGTCCAGCAAACCTGAGGCTCCTTCTCCAGTCCCGGCCACAGCGATTTCGACAGGTTCCGGGAGGGTGGCTACTCGGTGTCCTTCCAGAGACGCAGTATGGCCGGCTACTCTTTCACAAAATCATGGAGTGGTCTGACAAATATGGTGAGGACTGCTGCGTTACTCTGATAACCCAAGCCTAGGTATGCCGAACTGCTGGATTGCACCCCTAAGTACATTGATTGCAGTGAAGCCGAGTTTAGGACATAGGGGCAGCTTTCTTATTACGCAGGATTTCCGTAGTAAGCTGGCTGGGGGATGCCAGCAGACTTCTGTCTGACGTCGCAGATTGCAAATCCCGCAGGAGCCCTACAGCAACGTTTCAGGGCGAAAAGTGTGTAAAAGCTATCCCAAAGAAAACTCGTTTACAAGAGCACCTGGAATTTGCGAGATGTTTGCTTCTGTCTGCTGGGATCAGGGCATGCTAATTGTCTGATGTGGAGCATTGTAAGATGTACTATTTGTTGCCGCTGGTTTGGTGAGATGTGGGGCAGGGCAAGATGGACGAGTTGCTGCCGCCGGTTCCCTGGGATGTGGGGCATGGCAAGTTGTTCGATTCGTTGCCGTTGGTTTGCTGGGAGATGGGATGTGGGCAGAGCTGCCGTTGCTGTATTGGGATGTGTTGGCGTGGCTAAATGTGCACTGGGATTGGGTAGGTTGGGGAATTGATGGTCTGCTTTTATCCTACTGGTCATGATCTCCGATGCATATATCAGCATATTTTGGGTGCATACGTAAAAGCAGCACTTCCTATGCACACGAGTCATGATCCAGCTGGCGATACTCGCCACAAAGATGCTCCTATGCGTCTCCGCGCTCTCATTGACACCTAGGCTACGAGCGTCTGTAGATGTACCAGGAGTTGTTAGTGC